CCCCCCCCCTCTAGCAAGCTCATGCCTTGGGTGTTCACAGCACCCATCCAACAATACGTTGATGAGGTCATACACCTCCCCTTCTGTTCTGCTGACTATGCCACTGCTGCCATTTTAGCCTTGGTATGACTATGAGTTTTCAATGAACCCATTTATTCAAGTGGCAATGTGCCCTGATGCACCCTACTATAAATATGCCTTTTCAGGGTTTGCTACACTGTCTTGCCAAGTTGGATTATTGTCACAATAGAGTAACAATACCATTACCCTAGATAACCCTAGGGACAAGTATTCCCCATTGGAATGAGGCATGTTTTTACCAATCCATTATCTTTGCCCCATGCAATCTTTTCAGGTTTTTCACAAAAAGAGAGTGGTGAAATTGTATGGCTTATTATATGATAAAAGTTAACACCGGGTTGAGTCAGTACATAAAGTTATCATCATTTACAGGTCAAGTGAGCTCAGAAAGGAATATGATGCTCTAATGATAGAAAAAGCTGAGCATGAGAGAAGTATTGATAGAAAACAACAAAAAATTAAAAAGTTATTGGCAGATGTTAAGACTTTATACCAGGTAAGTCACTGGTTCAAATTTATTTACCAAATAAAGAAGTTATTATAATAAAATTATTTTTCAAAATGCTTAACTCTCCTAATTGTTCATTATGCATACTAAATATCTTAATGAATTAAGACTGGAAACTTTTTTGTTTTTAGAAACTAGTTTTATTTGGTTGCATATTGTTTAGTGTAAGCATACTGTTGTCTGGAATGATTAGAATTCTGCCTCAATTGTATGAGAGAAGAAAGCTTTTAGTTTGACAAAAATTTCTCTGGGTTAGTTTGAGATAACCGCGGCCCTTACTTGGCCTCTGCAGAGAACAGTTTGACTCTGATGGAGCTGTCTAGTGAGAATAGCTAATTTAATGAAATACATAATATATTCCGGTTCCTAGACATGTGAGGAGGAAGAGGCGAAAGATGAGTTGATTGGGAGAGTAAACGAAGAAAACTGGGAACCTGAGGCTAAGGCATTTGAGCTATGGAGTTCTGCAGAAAATGTTGAAGAAATGCAAGGTACAGGCAATATATATAGTCAGCCTTCCTTAGCTAGAGAAGTTTGTGGTATTATTATTGTTGCAAGTGCAAATCACCTCTGGGATTCATGCAGTATGCAGTTTTTGTCTTTTGATAAATAATTTTGTCTTAATTTCCCTGCGTAGCGGCCTCAAAATACAAGGCCTTTTGACAACCACCACACAGGCTAGTCTTGATTGCCCCTACGAAGAGTGATTCTAGTTTGACCAGCTGGCCTTTTTATGTGGCCTTTTTTATTCAAGATAAAACAGTAGCACCTGGAAAACTTATGTTAGCAAGCATTGTCGATTTGTCGATGAGGCAAATACTGTAGACTAAAGAGTGAACTTGCTCCTTTCAATTACTTTGAACATATATATTAGCACCATTTTCTTTACACACAGTAATAACTTCTCTTTATATATATAGGAATAATTGTTGCATTAAAACGTAAGAGAGCAGCTGTTTCTGCTGAGTGTTCAGATGTTTTGTCAAAACTGAAAGATCTAAAGAAAACAACCTAGGAATACTAGTAATGACCACGCTATCTTTTGGTCTAATTTATCATCTTGGATTGTGAGTTTATGCAGTAAATCCTACTTGTCATGCCTCTTTATTTGCGTGTGTTTGCACACATCGAAACGTTAATTGTGGAGTCCAATTTACATGAAAGTGGTGGGTAATATCTAGTCTTAATTTGAAACTACCTTAAAATACTGAAAATAGTTTGACGTATCGAGCAAAGACTTGTCAAGAAACGTATTTTGCTTGCTTCGAAAGACATGTGAAACAAGACATTCTCACAACGGAGTCGGAGAATGGTGTTGAAGTACTTTAGCATTATTGTGGTGATGCAGAAGGCTGATCAAGAAGATTATCACAAAGGACTACATGAATACAATACGTGACGAAGCGTCTGATCAAGCTCGATGGTCTGATCTTAAATATATCATCAATTCAAGTGGTGTAAGTTTTGTCAATTTTTTGTTTGCAAGTGTACCTGGTTTTTATAAAAATGTCATTTTCAACCTGCATGGTCCTTCGAGCCGGATAGAATTCAAAGATAATTCGAATGTTAAAATATCAAAAGCAAAAATATCATGCTGTGCGGTTTTTAATAACGATGTTTTGTGCAACGTAGTAATATTTCTAGCAAATTTAGCACGAAGCCTTGACTTAGCGTTGACAACTCCAGTAGTTATAAGGCTGCATTCCTGTGATGCAATTTTCATGCGCATAGAAAAGTGTAAATCCATTTAAATGTTACTTATATGAAATAACGAAATACATAGTCTCCTCCTCAGGCGTCTCGTAGTTCACCAGAGTTGCTTGTGATGCCTGCGAAGGAGGCATGTTTTAGCGTGCACTTGTTAACTTATTTGTATAATATTATAAACTTTTAAAAGGGGATTTAGACTTTTCCATTCGTGTATAAGAACTCTTCACAGGAAAGCTGCCTTAAATCACTCTGAGCGAAACGTTGATAGAAATGAAAAAATAGGTACACTGCCATGTACATTACCATAACAACAGTCCAATCTATGCAGCTTCAAGTCTGTGCAGCTTCAGCAACAGTCCAATTCATAGGTGTACGACTCTAAAGTCCATCAGTAAATCAAAACGTGCCCACCATTTCAACCGTACCGAAAAGTACTGTAAAACTAGCTTCCTCCCGCAGGCAACTCTTACCTAACGGAATTGCGTAGACGTAGTACTACCTTGCATAGCCTGCGAACAGGCTCTCAAGCTGAATTGAGAGCCTGCATCGATGATTAATTAATTTGAATATCTGCCCCGTAACGTTCGTTTTTCCAAATATGGAATGTCTATCCTTATATGGTGTTGTTTACAACTTTCGTGCAAACTAAATTTAGACCGTGCAAACTAAATTTAGAGCGTACAGTTTATACTATTTTTCGAAATATAAGATATTCAAGCAAAAGTTCAAATGTTTTAAATACTGTTTTCTCAAAACAGAACATTTCGTGCTTTGAGATAAGACGGCCAAGACCAATATGATCAGTTAATGTGTTTTTTATGCATAGTGCTTAGAGCAGTTGACATATATAGAGCTCAGCGGAAACATATAAATTATAGCATCTGACCAATGAGAATTTCGCGTCACGATTTGAGACGCAGATATTCAAATTCATTAGTCATCGATGCAGGCTCTCAATTCAGCTTGAGAGCCTGTTCGCAGGCTATACCTTGCAGAAACCGAGCGATACTTGTACATGTGGATCTCAAAATTTCTTGTTATCCCCTCTTGCTCAGCCGTTTGCCAGCGAGGCCTTTTGTTGTTTATTTTTCCTTACTCCTTAGTATTCACTGAAAAACAGGCTGTATTGCAAGACATTTGTAGTCACAGCGCGAGCCCATGAACACAGCAGTAGTGATACTATGTATAACCAGTCTCATTACAGCCATACTCAATTCCGTCATATGATAACACCTCTGATATCAGTTCAGGTACACCCAATCCTATAGGCAATTCCAGCTTTTAGTTTATGCGTGCAGGGG